TTTTTGGGTCCGCGTTCGGCTCGAACGGCCGAACACAACACCAAGGGGTCCCATATGTTCGGGCGTTCGGGTTCGGGCGCTCGGCCCGTCCCGAACACCGGTTACCCTATATATACATATATTGATACTATCAACCGCCGGTACTTTTGCCCCTTCCCTTGCCGAGAGCTTAAAAAACACGATGCGCGCCAAAAAAAAACTGAAGCGCGTTGGTTGGCGCCGCTAGCCAACGTACCTTGGTAAGCGGACCCCGAAAACGTGTTAACTAAAACGTACTGGTGGTTTAAATCTCAGAAAAAAAGGATGCGCGATCTTGGCTCTCTTCTCTTTCTTTCTTCTTCCTTTTTTTTTTTTTTTTTTTTTTTTTAATAGGTCCAGTGCCCAAGGCTCGAAATTATGAGATTGAACGCAACGCAAGCACATGCCTCTTCCCATTAGGGCTGGAAGAGCCTCGGCCATTGCTCCCATAGAGACAACTCTGTTGGCAGTCGGTCAAATAGAAAGGCCCCTTTAGGGCCCAAGTTCCCCTAAAGGTTGCACTCGATTACTTACGAAGGTAGGCGGCGTACACACATTTTAGGAATGCCCACCCAACAACTGGTGCGTGCCACAGTTCGAGTAGGAGTGAATGGCTATGGTGCACGATGATGATTAGGTCCTGCAGATTTCCCCATCCCCCGTCAGGCGGATATAGATCTGCCTACATGAGCCTCTTAAACCATCAGTACATCTTCCAGCCATTTCGCAGAAATGTGCAGTGCATGCAAGCGCATCGGGCAGGATGTTCTGGGGGTGCCATTTCGTCCGAAATCTATCCAAGCAAAACACGTCCATTTCGTCTGAAATCCATCCACGCGAACCGGGTCGCATGCGAGGCCCGATTTTTCTGGATCGATTTTGGGCGAAACGGCGCATTGGGCAGGATGTACCGGGGTGCCATTTCGTCTGGAACCCATCCAAGCAAAATGGGTCACATGCGAGGCCCACCGATTTTCCTGGATCTATTTTGGGCGCAACGACACATTTTTACCGGGGTGCCATTTCGTCCGAAATCCATCCATTCGCAAGCAAAACGGGTCGCATGCGAGGCCCGATTGTCATTCAATTTCATCGATTTTGGGCGAAACAGCACCTGGGTACATCCTCCACCTGATGCGCACGTGTGCACAGTGTGTTTCTGTCAAATGGTTTGAAGTTCGGAACATAATACATGATCTTGTTTTTTTTTTTTTTTTTTGGTTTTCAGGAAAGCCTGACCAGCGTCTCGAGGGAAGCTGATCCAGAATTGAGTGTATTTATTTTTGGGGGGAAGTGTGTTTATGTCACATGGGAGTTCGTACTGGGCAGAAAAAACAGGCATCGGCGCCTGTGTCAGGGCCTGAGTTCAAAAAGGCATTCGTAACTCAGGCCGGCGGTGGTGTCAGGGCGGAGATTTCATTAAGGCGGTTCTGGTTTTTTTTTTTTTTTTTTTTTTTTTTTTTT